GGCGTTTTGATCATGCCCCTCGCGTGGGTCGCAGGGTTCGGATCAGGGAATCCCCCACCCACCCGCTCCCCCATCGTTTTGCCTTCTTGGGCCGGGCCATTGCAACGTTCTGTAAGATTGATTTTTCTCGTGGGCTGATGACATCACCCCGCCCCCTTCTTTGTCTTCCCCCTGACCCCCTTCCGACAGCCATTCGGTCAGTCGCTCGAGACTCGAACGACCCGCGCAGCCGCGGCGGCGGGCAATGTCATCGAAGCGTTGCAGGATCGGTGGCAAGACGCCGGAGTCTCTTGTCTTGTCTGGCGTCGTCCCGAACGAAGACCTGCTGTCAGAGTTGATGAGTCCACGAGCTCGATCGCGGCCCCCCCTCGCGCAGCGGCGGCGGCCCGTCCAGCAGCGTGGCCAGCGCCGCGGACATTCCACTCGAGGAGGCGCTACGCCTCTCGTAATTGTCTCGCGGGGTTCGGGTTGGACATTTGTTCCCGGTTCGTTCTTCAGACAAATGATTTTGGCCAACGTCTGCTTTCAGCGCCCCTCAGGTCGTTCAGGGATTGGCCATCTAGATCAGATTATTTCCTCCTCCTCTTCTTTTCTTCCTTCTTCTTCTCCTCGTACCCCCCCTCTCCTCGCCCTCCCCTGCCCCTCCCCGCCCCCCTCCCTCGTCGGGGCGTCGGGCGCGCGAGACTCGAACAGGTCCTCCAGGAGATCGAACGCGGCATAGCATCCTTCGAGAAGGATGTGCGATGGGCCCGCAGTCAGGCCCATCTTACCTACCCGTCCTGCTCCTCCTCCTTCTTCTCCTCCTGCACCGCACCTGCTCCAAGTCGTCTTCCTCCTCCTCTGAGCTCAAGCCGACGATCATCACCGACCTTGGCCGTTGGCCCCTGTGTGCGCGCTGGAGCCGAGCGCAGCAGCTACAGAAACTAAGCGCCCAGAAGCAGTTCGTTGCCGAATATGCAAAGGTCAACTCTTTGATGGGATGGTGTCCAGCTATCCGCCTTGCAAGGGCAATGTCCTGTTGCGGGGAAGATGCCGGCGACGCGTGCGCTCGGGAGCTCCGCCTTCCCCCCCCCCTCTGCCTCCCCCCCCCCCCCTTTATCATCCTCCTCGGGAAGGGGGCCCGTCACGGGCGGCCCATCACTTCCGTGGGCAGTCGAGTCGGTTTCAGGGTTGGTCTGGCTTTGTTCTGGGCCCCTGGGCTCTTCGAAGCATCGATGGCCGAGCGAGGTTGGCGGGGCCGTCGCTCGGGGGCTTGTCCGAGGGGCCGCCAACCATTTTCGCAGACGAAAGGGTTCCCAGGATTTCGGGGTGGTGCGGGGTTGCGCCACCCCGAAATCCTGGGCCCGAGCTTTGGTGCCAGGAGGGGCTGTTCGGGGGCGCGCCCCCGCCGCTTTGGGTGAAGTGGCGCCGCGGTTGGGTAGGCTCGCCCCTCTCGAGGGCTGCCCCCCCCCCCCCTTCGCGCCAGAGCCCCCTCCTGAAGGCCCCCCCCCCCGCACGCAGCCCGGAGGTTATCAGGGATAATTCGGAGGTTATATAGGGGAATCCGGAGGTTATTGGGGGTTTTCCGGAGGTTACATGGGGAATCCGGAGGTTATCAGGGGGAATCCGGAGGTTACGGGGAGGGGCCCGGAGGTTATGAGGGGGGATCCGGAGGTTACGACTGGGGGCCCGACAGGGCCCTCGAAGAGGGGGCGCAGAAACTTCAGGGGGGGGGGGATTGGCGTTCAGAGGGGCGCAGGGAGTAGGGCCTGGAGGACAGGGAGGAGGGCTGTGGGGGAGGACGAGGACGAGCTGGAGGGCCTGGAGGGCAGGGCTTGGGGGGCAGGGCCTTCGCTTTGGGGCGTTCCAAGGGCGTCAGCTATCGAGCTTCGACGTTTCGAAGAGCTCGCCAGCTGGTGCGCCCTTGGAAGGACCCATAGCAACGGCTGCGCGTCTTTCGCCGGGCCTCCTTCCCCCCCACCAGCGCCCTGCTGCGTTGGAGATTCCTCGCGAGGAGACGCAGCTTCCCGCGCTGCCCGCGGCCCCCGCCCTGACGGACTTGTCCCTCAAGACCGCGGCGGCGGCGATGATCCAGCGGATGCGGCAGGGGGACAAGATCGCGTTGGCCGCGAACTTGTCGGCTGTGGGCGTCGTGCATTACGGGTCCATGTGTTACGGCACCGACGTGTGTTGCGAGGCCACGCAAGCATTCTACCAGGCCGCGGGAGGAGGTGGAGGAGGAGAGGAGGGCGATCATTGTAAGGATTTTCAGGCCGAGAGGACCAGGATAACACGGTGGTGGAGGACGAGGGGGAGGAGAAGGGCCAAGGGGGGAGCCCCGACGATCCAGCTTGGAGATGCCGCATTTGGCTTAAAATCCTTTGGGGGATTTTGGGCCAGATCCGCCGTCGCCCCCCCCCCTCCTCCCTCACCAAATTCAATCCCGACGATCTAGGTTGGAGGTGCCAGATTTGGCCCAATATCCTTCGAAGATAGATTTTCGCATGAAGTCGAACATCGGTTCTGGAACTGGCGTATATCATGTCTTCCTCCTTGTCTTCCTCCTCTTCCTGTTCCTCCTTCCTCCTCCTCCTTCTCCTACCTCCTCTCCTCTTGAGTTATTCCTCCCCCTCCTCCTCCTCCTCCCCCCTCCTCCTCCTCCTCCTCCCTCCCCCATCGCAGGAGACGCACTAACCGCGCGCTAGAACAGAGCGCGCGCGCGGCGCGAGATGCAGAGGAAGAGGAGGCGGAGGTGGAGGAGGAGGAGGAGAGGAGGAGGAGGAAGGAGGAGAATGGGGGAGGAGATGGAGAGGGGAAAGGAGGAGAAGGGGAAGGACGCGGCGGTGTATATAGTTGGGGGCCGCCAGTGTCCTCTGGGGCCCGTCTCGGCGCCCTGGAGACAGTCTCAAGTGCGCTAAGATCGCTCCAAGAGGGCCCCGAGAAGGCCCCAGGAAAGGCCCAAACGGATGCTACAACGCACCCCCCCTATTGTAGTATCCGTTGGGGGTTCTCTTGAGACTCTCTTGGGCTCTTCCTGGGGTCTGGTGGCAGCCGCCAGATTCCTCTGGGGCCCGTCTGGGCGCTCTGAAGCAGGCACAAGAGTTCCAGGATCGCTCCAACAAGGGCCCAAGAAGGCCCCAGGAAAGGCCCAGGCGAGGCAGGCCCAGACAAAACGGACATCGATGTCCACATTGTCCGGGCGCACCCGCTGCCGCCGCGGTAGCGAGGGGGGGGGCAGCCGACGGGCGACGAAGAGGGGCGGGCAACCAAACGGATGACAACGCACCCCCCTGTTGTAGCATCCGTCGGGGGTTCTCTGGAGACTCTCGTGGGCCCTTCTCGGGGTCTGATGGCAGCCGCCAGATTCTGCTGGGACCCGTCTGGGCGCTCTGGAGACAGTCCCAAGAGCGCGGAGATCGCTCCAACAGGGCCCCGAGAAGGCTCCAGGAAAGGCCGGGGCGGATGCTGCAACGCACCCCCCTGTGGTAGCATCCGTTGGGGGTTCTCTTGAGGCTCTCTCGGGCCCTTCTTGGGTGCCTCTTGGGCCCCCCTTGGACCCCTGAGAAGCTCCCGATAATGAGGGCGATGGGGGGGGGGGGGGGGTCGGCCGCCGAAGGTCTGCCAGAAGTCCCTGGAAGTGAGCCCTTATGCGGAACCGAAGTGCACGCACGTATTCTCCTGCGACATCAAAGAGTCAGCTCGTCGTTTCATCATGACTTTCCGCCGGCCCCAGTACCTCTTCGGCGACATGGCGGGCGCGTCTGCCCCGCGAGCTTTCGATCACATATCTTCCAGCACAGTTGGAGTGCCAGGCAGTCTTGACGTTCTCATCGCCGGGTTTGTTTGCGGGGACGTCAGCTCGCTGAATGCGCACCAGGGCGCCAACAAGGACTGCGTCGCGAAGGGCACCAAGAGGACTGGCAGCACATTCAGGGGAGTTTTAGACTACGTGGCGTCCAGGTTCCCCCGCGTCATGTTGCTCGAGAACGTCGAGGCCATCAATTGCAAACCTGACGATGGGGTGGGGCCGAGCAACGGCGAGGCTGTTTGCGCGGCCTTGCGCCGCATCGGTTACGCCGTTAGGATGGTGACCCTTCAGCCTTCGGACCACGGCGTGCCTCAGCGTCGCCGTCGCTGCTGGTTCATTTGTTGCCTCGTGAAGAACGGCGACGTGTCAGACAGCGGGAATTCGCAGGAGCTTGAGAAGTTCTTGGACTCGACCGTTCGCGTGGTGAAGGACTTGATGATTCCCCATTCGTCTCTGGACATGGTCCTCATGCCCGCCAAGAGCCCCGAGCTGCGCGCGTGGCAGGACCAGCGCACGTCCATCCCCGACGAGCCGCAGGAGCCCGCCACGAAGGCGATGAAGTGGAAGGAGCTACACAAGGCCACTTTCAGGGCAAAGGGCTTGCGTTGGCCGCCGGAGATGGAGAACATCTACGATTCGCGGGACCTCGAGCTCATCCAGCAGTTGCCGTTGAGGTCTCGCGAGGTGATAGCGTTCCACGACTTGACGAACCCGATGTCCGGCCCGATGTCTCGTTTGCAGCCTGGCGATGAGATCGTCGTTGACGTGAGCCAGAGCATTAACCGAACGACAGCGGCTTTGAACCTCGCGCCGTGCGTGTGCCCCGAGAGCTTGCTTTGGATGCGCCGCAGGCGTCGCCTGGTCGAACCCAACGAGGAGCTGGCGCTGCAGGGTATGCCCATCTACGACGAGGCCGACTTGAGCGCCTTCAGCCATCGGGAGGTTCGCGACCTCGCAGGCATGGCGTTTTGCGGCCATAACGTCTTGGCCTTGCTGTTCGCGGTGTTCTCGACGCACCACTTCCCCGACATCTTGGCAGGCCCCAGCCTGCCGGCGAGCACGCCGGGCACCGACAGCCCTTTCTGGCCCTGAGTCGTCGATGGCAGGGGCGCAGCCGATGAGGTCAACGAATGATCGAATGATAAGGAGGGCGACGGAGGAGGATGAGGAGGGGGATGAGGGAGAGGAAGAGGAGGAGGAGCAGGAGGAGGAGGAGGGTGGGAGTTAAATGGAGGAGGAGGAGAAGGAGGATTAGGAGGAGGCGGGGAGGCAGCAGGCTTGAGATTTTAGGAGCGGCGTTGAGGCACTTGAGGTCGTCAAGGGGGTCGCGCCCCACTGTCTCCGATGCCGCCCGTGTGACCCTTCTTTCGGTCGATAGGTCGACTGCCCTTGGGCTCGTTGTGGCGTTTGCCGTCTTTGGCAGTGTGTGTCTCCAGTTTAGTTTCGGGCTGAAATCTTGGGAGTCGAGGTGCGGCGCGACGCGGGCAGCGTTTGCGCTTTTGGCAGCTCTTGAGTTTCAGGAAATTCACATCCAGCTGCTTGCCCGCTGGAAGAGTTCAGCGCGTGGCAGCTCGGGCGGCGTACGAGGGGCCGCGCAGTTTCGTTCTGCTTCCGCGCTGCCCAGGAACAAAAGCCGGAAAAGAGCTAGAGAACAGCTGCACTGGGGGCCCTCTGGATCCGATGTCCCCTCCCCCCCCCCCCCGCCCCATCGTTCACCGCCCACCAAACCACCCCAACCCAACCCGAAGGCCCCAATTTGCCCTCCATTTCCAGTTGGGGGGGGGGGTCGGGGAACGTTGAGAAAACACACATGAAGCTCGTACCCCCCCCAACCCGAAATTCGGGTCTTCGGGTTGGGTTGGGGTGGTTTGGTAGGTCGCCAATCGTTCTCGCACTTCTGAAAACTATGGAGATTTGAGTCGCATGCGCGTTGAGCGCCGTTTAGCAAAGGCCTTAAGGGGGCGGGGTGGAGCGGGGGCGGGTTTCGGTGGTCATCGCGCGGGCGTTCGGGGTTCGAACGCGGGTTGCGGATCGCCTCGAAGCCAGCGCGTTGCCGATCGTTGAAGGACGAAGCGCTCATGCGGTGTCAGATGCATTCCAAGTGTCAAGCCACCGAATCGCCCTATGGTCTTTCATGGTCAGGCGCATTTGTTCCGTTTGCTTTTCCCTCGAGCCTCTTTGGCAGTTATCGCGCGCCCCTCGCCGGCTACGACGCCACCCGCGACCTTGCCTTGGCCAGCGCCTTGCCTGGGGGCCTGGGGGTCATGGACCTGGAGGCGCTGTTGTCGCAGGTTGGCGAGGGGGAGAGCGTCGCGCCCCTGGATGACGCGGGCGGCGGCGGGTGCGCCAGCAGCAGCGCTCGCGGCAGCGCTCGCGAGGATGGGCCCGCTGCGAAGAAGGCGCGGAGGGGGGCTGGCTTTGCGGCTGGCGTCCCGAGCATCTCTCCCAGGACGCCTTCGACGCAGTTCCCGAGCGGCATGGCCACGTCCAGCGCGCCGACCGAGTGCGGCGACGGCGACGGCGACGAGGAGGACGACGGGGCCATGACCATGAAGAAGATCGGGATCGGCGTCGTCGGCGTCCGCTTGTCGCAGCTCCCCGAGCAGTACAACGCGAGAACTTGCAGCAAGGTTTGCCTCGGTTGCGGTTGCAAGCCGTCGGATCCCGACCCCATCAACCCAACCTTGAGCTACGCCTGGTTCAAGCCTGACTATGGCGGACTGGTGTGCGCGTACTGCGGGACAGCCAAGGCCAGGAAGTACCCCCACAAGAGCAACGACCAAGTCTTCAAGGGCGTGAGGACTAACGAGGAGGAGTGGAAGAAGTTCCAGCAGTTTTGCAAGTTCTTGATCGAGTCTTGGAAGTCGGGCAAGCAGCGGGTTCGCAATGTCCTCGATGCGCCGATGGAGCAGACGGTCAAAAAGATAGCGGAGATAAATATGTCCGCCGCCGACAAGGGCAAAATGAAGTTGTACGACAGCTACGTCCAGGAGTTCGGGGATCCAGCCACAAACGGGAGGGGGCACACCATCACCATGGCGCAATGGAAGGACGGTAGCAAGCAAAAGGTCGTGCTCATTCCCATGACGGCGTCGGACGAGATGGAGTGCAAGTGGAAGATTAAGAACGGCTTCAGGCACGACACGACGTTGGACGACGGCGCCCTCTCGATGCGCCCGGACCAGCAGCGGCAGCTCTTCGACAGTTTGCGAGATGCCCACGGCGTGTCGCGGTTGAGCGGGGACATTCAGGTCCAGGAGCGCCCCGCGCCTGCGGCGGCGGGGGAATCGCGCCTGGCGGGCGAGGGGCCTGCCGCGCCCGCGGCGCCCGAGGAGCCTGAGGAGCCTGAGGATGAGGGGGAGGATGAAGAGATTGACCTGGACGCCTCTTTCGACGTGGACTTGCTGGGCGGCGCCGGCGCCGCCATCGAGGACAGCGGCGGCGCCCCGCCGCGCCAGAAGGCTCGGAAGACAGGCGGTGGCCTGGATGCTGGATCTCCTGGCGCTGATGCTGCTGGAGCTGCCGGCGGCGGTCGGCCTCCCGCGCAGCCGAGCGGCGGCGCCGCCGCAGTTCGCCGGGCAACGGCCGACCGTGCCAAGGCGGCCTTGGACGCTCGATCGGCCCCTTCCGCCACGCCGCCGTCTTTGCCGACCAGGCGACAGGGCGGCGCCGGCAGGCGGGGCGTCGCGAGGCCGAAGGCGGGCAAGGGCAAGGCGGGCATTGGCGCCGCGGATTTGGCAAAAGAAGAAAGAGAATTGGAGAAGTTGGTCGAGAAGGGCGAGGCATGTTTGCGGGAGTTCGCTGCGTGGAGTCGCGAGACCATCGTGCACGAGAAGGACAAGCGTTTCTACAAGGCCACTCGGAGTTTGAGTGATAGTATTGCTGCCAAGAACACCTCAGACGTGACGGCGTCGAATGCGGAGTTGGCCGAGAAAGCCGAGATCACAGTGAAATTGATGGGTTTGATGGTCCAGCGAGTGAAAGCTTACACCACGTGGGTCAAGAAGGCCGAGGATAAGCCGTACCTCGATGAGATCGCGTCCATGACCGAGTTCTCCATGAAGGCCCCGATGGTGACCCTCGAGCTGCCCGTGTGCATCCAGTGCGACGCTATGGAGTTGGAGTTCCGCTCTGGCATTTGCGACGCCATCAGCGAGATCAGGCAGGCGCGGGCTTCTGTTGAGGACTCCGCGGAGGTTGCGGACCAGATATTGCAGCGGTGGCAGACCGTCGACCTGGCGAACGTGCAGAGGTTGTACTCGCATGACAAAGCCGTTGCAGAGCAAAGCCGCATGGTGAAGGAGACTTTCTTGGACATCCTCAACCACACCGACTTGAACAAGCTGTCTCCCGAGGACACGTTGGAGGCCATGAGAATCGCCTTGTCTCCCATCCCCAGGGATTCGCCGCCAGCAAGCTTCGACCTCGGCGCTCCCGTCTTGCAGGCGCTTCGCTCGATCAAGTCTGTCGTGCTCGTGGATAGGTACGCCGGGCGGGGCAGGGAGGCTCTCGATGACATTGCGGTTTTCCAGAGCAGCGACAACGAGATCTTGATGCAGTTCAAGACGCCGGCTGGCCTCAAGATGTTGAGGTGTTGCAAGGACTCCCCGTCGTCCGTCGCTGCGAGTCGTCGCAGTTGTTATTGTCACTGTTTCCTCTCCTTCTCCTCTCCTTGAGGAGCGTGCTGCCCAGGTTGTCAAGGTGGAGAACAGCGTGAACCGTCTTCGAGAGATGAGTGGTAAAACGTTCGACACGGTCGCCGAGATCATCATGTTTGACAAGGAGTTCCACCTCCCAGGTGTGGTTGAGCAAGCTGGGGAGGAGTGTGCCACATGTCTGGCACGAAACCTCGACGCTTGGATCATGGCCCAGTCTTGCGTTGTGAAGGGCGCCGTCAAGGCCGTCCTCGATGGCAGCATCGACGCGGAGTCGGCGGGGGAGGATCGCGTCTTGTCCGCTCCCGCGCTCACGACGTTTCTGGCCCAGGTCCCCAACGTGTTGAAGATGGGCATCGTGACTGCGAAGACCGACGCCGCCGAGGCTTACGTCCATGGCCTCGACTTGCTGAAGGCCATCGCCGCGGGGCCGCTACTGCTACTGACGCCTGATGCCGCTGGCAGTTGCAACATGGCCCACTTCGAACGTCTCGCCCACATGATTCAAGATATCTCGGTTTGTTATTCTTCGAGCTCAAGGGCTTTCGAAAAGATCGGCTCCAGCCAGACTGAGGTCCGCGTGTTGCTCAATAAGGCCATTGAGACTTTGCGGGCGGCAGAGGCCGCAGTCGTGACTCCAAAGGTATCTGACATCGCCAAGTTCTTGTACTGCGACTCCTCGTACATCCCAGGCCCCGACGCGGCCGCTCCCGACGCGGCCGCAGCCGCCGCTGCCCCGCCCATCACGGTCGTACCTTTCATCCGTGAGATGGATATCGAGAGGCTCGCGACACTTTACGACCAGCACAGGGGCAGCTTGTCCCAGGTCGCAGACCACGTCCAGGACGCCGTAGCAATGCTTTCGGCCCTTGCCCGGCCTGAGGCGGCGGCGGTGCTCCAGGTCAAGTTCGCACTGGTCCGCGTGCGTCTCCGATACGCGCGCTGCTACGGCGCTATGGCCGACTCCAGGACCGAGTTCGTCACCCTCGACGCGTGGCTCAACCTCATCGCAGGCTTGGCCGCCGACCACGCCGCGCTGACTGCGGTTTTTGCGTCTGAGACACTCGCTGAAATGTGGGGTGCGTTCGTTGGGGCCTCAGCTGCGAGCGCGTCGGCCCTGCGCCAGGTCGAGTTCGCGCCAGTCAAGACGGCGTGCGAGCATGGCCTCGAGAAGAGCGGGGAGCTGATCATTACGCTCGTCGGCAACTGGTCTCTCCGACTGAGCCGATGGTCCCAGAAGTTGCTCAGCGAGATCCCGTCCGAGTGGAACAGCTTCGTGGTCAAGGTCTTCGACGTGGAGCGCATCAAGAGCGAGCTCTTGGCGAAGAAGTGGGATGCGTTCGCGAGAGGGTGGGCCTCGCTCCAGCGGCTCTTCAGCCAGGTCCGCGGCTTCGAGTGCGCCCTGACGGGCAAGTTCGATTCCATGCATGCTGCCACCTCGACGTCCGTGTCTGGCGTGCTCCTGGACGGCAAGAAGCTCATTGCTGCAATCGCCTCGTGCGCACTGATCGTGGAGAAGCTCCCCAATTTGCCGTCCGTGGATCGCGTCAGCGTCATTGAGCAGCACCTCAGCAAGGCCCGTTCGTCATCGGCCCTTCCGCCGCCGAACATCGTGGATTTCCTTGGCAAGGAGCTCAAGAAGGCGAAGGCGGCTGGCAATGGCGGCAAGAAGCAGTAATTCGTACTTCGGCGAGCTCTTCATCAGCATGCTGCGCGGCTGCAGTTGGACTTCGGGGAACTGCTGGACGCGCTCGACACGCTGCGCTGGCTCCGCGGCGCGGTGCTGGGGCTGGAGCTGTGCGGCTCCATCGTTGCCTTTTTGAGTGCTTGGGGTTTGGGGACCTTGGGGATGTTGTTTCGCCCGGGCAGTGGGCGGGCATGAAATGATATTACAGGTCAGCTCTGTCGGGCTGAGCGGCCCAGCCGTCTTCGCTTCGATTCGATTCGCGCCACCGCCCTTCTACCTGTCGCCAGGGACCGCCAGGGGCGCGAAGACGGCCGTGCCTCGCGCTCAGCAGAGGCATCCTGGGATGCGTTCTCCAAGTGCGGGCGCGAGATTATCGCGCGTCGAGCGTCGCGGCCAAGGTTCGGCCTGGGTGCGAAGGTCGATCCTTCTTTCGGCGTGGCGTTCTCCGAATGCGGGCGCGAGATCATCGCTCGTTGTGTGTCGCGGCCAAGGTTCGGCTTGGGTGCGAAGGTCCATCCTTCCCTCGGCGTCTCGGCGTAGCCTTCTCCGAATACGGGCGCGAGATCATCGCGCGTCGCGCGTAGCGGCCAGGGTTCGGCTTGGGCGCGAAGGTCCATCGTGCTCTCGGCGTAGCTTTCTCCGAATGCGGGCGCGAGATCATCGCGCGCCGCTCGTCGCGGCCCAGGTTCGGCTTGGGCGCGAAGGTCCATCGTGCTCTCGGCGCGGGGGGCCTGACGGTGAAGTAGCGGGCGCACGGCGCAGCGGCGTCGAGGGCGCGGGCGTGGAGGGAGAGGTGGACGGGGAGGTTGTGGAGGTGGATGTGGGGGGTGCGGCGTGGTGGAGGGAGGCCAGGGGTGGACGCGGGGTAGGGTGCGCGGGAGGATATGGGCGAGGCGGGAGTCGTGGAGGATAGCCGCGGCCCGAGGGGCCGATGGCGGGGAGGAGGAGGAGGAGGGCGACGACGAGGAGGAGGAGGAGGAGGAGGAGGAGAGCAAGATATCCTGCTCTCCTCTTCCTCCACGTTCGGCCCTTGGTCATCCTGGGCTCGAGGCCTGAGGGCCTGCGGCCGCCTTTGGCGGGCCGCGGCGCCGCCGGCGCACGGCGGCGCAAAGCCCCCGCGGGGCTCGCGGCCAGGAGGAGGAGAGGGGGGGCGAGCTGCCCACCCCCCCCAGCTGCGGTGGCGCGGGGTCGTTCACGACAGGCGAGATTGGGGGTGCTGTTCCCTTCAACCTCGCGGGAGCCCGTCGGTTCCTACGTCAGACGACCCCTGGGGTCGTTCGATGTGGTAACCGACGGGCCCTCAGAGGGCGAGGGCAGCAGGTCTTCTGAATCTCCCAGGCTCTGCGAGGTGTGGCCCGACGTGAAGATCGCCGACCATGCCTAGAGGGCGTCGGCAGCGGGCTTCTACGGTCCCCTCCATCCTCCTTCTTCGCATTATTCTTCGAACTCCCTCCCTCCTCCGTCCTCTTCCCTCGCCTGCCTGCCCGCCCCCCCTTCCCCCCCGCGTCGAGGCTGTTGCCGCCCCGCCGATCTTGACAGGCTTGCGCCATGCCGCCCCCAGTATCGAGGCTGATGCCAATGCCGCCCCCAGTATCGAGGCTGATGCCGGATGCCGCCGCCGTCAAATCCATCGGTTCCAAGGACCCTGGGATCCAGACATTGGGGCCCCAGGATCCCTATGTCCTGGCCCCAGGATCCCAGGCCCCCAATTATGTGGATCCCCGAGCCGCAAGTTCGTGGACCCTGGATCCCTACAGGCGATTTGCGTGGATCCCTAAACCCCAAGTTTGTGGACCCTGGATCCCTGCAGGTGATGCACGTGGATCCCTGAACCCCTCGTTGGTGGACCCTGGATCCTTAGTCGGTGGACCCCGGACCCCTGGATCCCGAAATACCACCCTCCTGTCCCCCCCCCCGTCTCCGATTAAAGGAACCAGCCCAATGGGAGGCTTCAATCTGGATGACTGTTCGGAGGCTTCGTGGGCTTGGGCTTGGGCTTCCACAGACCATTCGCCTTTTCCACTCGCACTGCATGTCGATTCTGGCGCACCAGTTACAACTCTGTCCAGTGACCAAGGCTCTTGGGAAAGCGTATAATGAGGCCTTACAGGTGATTGCTGCTGGTCCACGCCATGCCTTCTCGAGGGAGATGCTGACGGGCATGCGAGCTTTGGGAGCCTCTTTAGTATGATTGGATATCGATTGATTTTCTAGAGCTATCAAGTTTCGGGTGGTGATGTCCTGCTCCAGTGTAGATGCTATCCAGTATGAGATGGAGTCGTTGACGGTTTCCCTGGACGACGATAACTTCATTCTTGCTCGACTGGTATGGCCCTGGTGGAAGTCTTCCTGGATCAGGACTACGGCGAATGAAGTAGGCAACTTCACGGTCCCGTCTCTGGAACTGGAACCCATCCCCAAGAAATCCCTTCAGAAGAAAGCCATGCGCAAGCTCCGAGGGCTCCGTGACCCCACTGTATCCCTTCGCAACATGGTGCAGAGGGTGTCCAAGTGGGTGGGTCCCGACCGCTTTGCGGTAGCTGACTTTCAGGTGCTTGTCCAGAGGATGCGTGAAGTTGAGAAGGACAGCGCGATGCACCTCGTCACGGGGGTTCTTAGAGTGCTCTGCCTTTGGGTCTGTACCTCCAGTCGGCTGCGTACCACGGTGGAGGGATGCGCGTTCGGGTGTCCTCTGGAAGCGGCCGGCGACGACCTGAGGCATTATCGCGCGTGCCCCAAGTTGAAGGCAGGGTTGATTGACAGATTCCCCCGCGGAGGACTTCTGAGGTCTTGGACCGCGGCTCTAACGGGCGAGGATTGGCTCCTCACTCTTTGTTGTTTGGGGCCACAGTGGGGGCGGTCACGTGGCCCGGTGGGGCGCGCCCTTGTCGATTGCTTTCTGGCCGCGCATAATGCTCGCAGGACTGGCTCGGTCCAGCCGGGGGAGTTTCTTATTGAAGCACGGCTTCGGCAATTGTCTCGTCGGCACCCCAAGCTTAATGAGGCGCTACGAGCGCTGCGTCTGGCTGCTGCTGCTGCCGCCCCTCCCCCTGCTCCTCCTGCTCCTCCTGCTGCGCCCCTCCTCTCCTGAGTTGCCGTGTCCCCCTTTTTGGTCCCCCTTTTTCCCTGTGGCCCCCTAGGTAATGGTCCATGCATGATGCCTTCAGAGTTTGATGTGGCCCTGGTGGGTCTCTCTGGTTGGCTGGCTGGTTTCCCGAGGTTATTTTTCCTGTAGTTGTGCGTTCTCTGAGCTCTGTTACGTTTCTTGGTTAATTCAGGGCCCCGTGTTGTCGCCAGGGTTGTGGGCGCTGCTCTGTGCTCGTGGTGACCCTCTCCGCCTGCAGGCGAAGATGGTGAGGTGCAGCTAGAGGGGGCGCCTCTCTTGCCGCGCCGCCGCCCCCCTGCCTCGGGAGGGTGCCTCTCTTGCCGCGCCGCCGCCCCCCCGCCTCTCTCCGCCGCCCGCCCCGCGGCCGCCCCGCCTCTCTTGCCTGCCCCGCCTCTCTTGCTGTCCCTGAGCTACAGGTTCTCGGACGGGCGGAACGGTCTGGTTCGCTGGAGCGTCGATGGAGCGTCGCTCCTGTAGGGTAGGCAGGCCTTCCCGCGACGCCAAGCCGCGGCGCCTCCAGACACCCGTTGCGTCTGGCGCGGAGGAGGTCACCCCCCTCTGCCGCGCCCCGCCGTTGCCCTCAGGTCCCCGACGAAGTTCGAGGCACCCCCGCAGCCGCTCCGCGCGAGAGAGCGGCCCCCTCTCGCCCTCAGGTTCCCGACGAAGTTCGAGGCACTTTGTAGGCCAGCTGTCTTGTTTCCCTTGTTCGGTGCGTTGGGGCTTCGTTTTTGGGGCGTGCCCCTTTTGTCTGCTTCTGCCTGCTGCGCCGTGGGTTGGGCCCTCGGTCAGCCGAGGAGTGAGCGTGGCATGGGAAGGATGCTCGAGTGTGCGATCCCCTTTTGGACGGCGCGCCGTGGGGGGGCGCGCGCCCGCCAGGGATCCAGTGCACTCGGAGCAGAGTGCCCGCCGCCGCTTTTCTTTGCCCTGCCCCTGCGCTGCCCCTCCCCCGCCCTTTGCATGTTAGATAGCACGGTGCCCGCTGCTCGTCGACATTCGGTGTGCGCGCTGGCGGTGGAGAAAAAAATCCTCCTCCTTCTCCTCCTCCTCCTCCTCCTCCCCCTCCCCCCCCATCCCTCCCTCCCTCCCCCTCCCTCCCTCCCTCCTCCTTCCCTCTCCTCCTCCCCCTCCTCCTCCTCCCCTCCTCCTCCTCCTCCTCCTCCTCCTCCTCCTCCTCCTCCTCCTCCTCCTCCCTCCCCCCCCTCCTCCCCCCCCCTCCCCCCCTCCCCGTCCTCCCCCTCCCTCCTCCCCCTCCACAATTACACAATATGAAATTACTCTTCCACTTCCCCTATGGCGCCCCGAAGATGGCCGACCCCCCCCCGCGTACTGTTTTTTTACACACCGGATCCCCGGGAAACGGGATTTTTTTCCTTCAAAATGCTGCTCTCGTTGAGGCGCCGGTTTCATTTTTGCTCCCGAATCGTTCCGAATCGTGCTCCCGCTGCAGCGTGGGCCTCATTTTCGAATCGGTGTTTGGCCTCCGTCGTTCAGGATTGCGTTCTCGCCCCTGCGCGGGCCTCTTTCTCGCGCGCCCATCCGCCCGCCACCACCGCGCCGCACCACCACCACCACCACCACCACCACCACCACCACCACCACCACCATCACAACCACCACCAGCACCACCACCACCACCACCACCACCACCACCAGCACCACCACCACCACCACCACCACCCTTACCACGCACACACGCACGCACGCACGCACGCGCACCACCACCCACTACGCACGCGCGCGCGGAGCCACAGGTCAGCTACGACACGCGTCCGCGGATAGAGAAAATCGGCGCCATGGCAAGGGATGGGAGGGAGGGGCAGGACGTCAGATGTGACGCGAGCGCACCCAGCTTGTTCTCCTCCCCCTCCTCCCCATCCCCCCCCTCCCTCCCTCCCTCCTCCTGATCCCACTCCTCCCACTCCTCCTGATCCCACTCCTCCCCCCCTCCGTCCCTCCCTCCCTTTTTCCTCCTGATCCCACTCCTCCCTCCCACTCCCTCCTCCTGATCCCCTCCCTCCTTCCTTCCCTCCCTCCCCCCAGCATCTCCGGGGGTGCTCCGGGCCTCCTCCGGGGCCGCACCCCTGCGCGCGCGCGCCCTGCCACGCGCGGGGCACGCCCTGCCGGCGGGGCGCGCGAATGCCTGCCGCCAGGCCCGCCGAGCGGCGCGCGGAGCCTCGGCGAGGCGGGCGGCTCGGCGAGCGCCCCGGAGGCCTTCGGGGGCAACGGTCGGGGGGAGGGGCCCAGGGTGAGATGTAAGTCGGGCCTGTCCCCCTACGGTAGGTTTGCGTCGTGTCGACCAGCGGCGACCCCAGCGCGGGCGTTCAAGGTTAAACGCCGCCGGCGACCCAGAATCGATCGATGTTGAACGATCGGACGTTGCGGCAGCGGCCGATCGTTCAAGGTTGAACGATCCTTGCGGTGTCAAAAACCAATGCTGGGGTCGGCACGACACGAACCTGCCGTACAGGGGGACTTTCGACGAGAAATAGAAAGTACCCCAAAAGTTGGTAAAAATAATCCAGAAATAGCCCGGGGACTATTTTTTCAAATATTTTTGTCCCTTCTTGGGGTATTTTTGGGGCATGTTTTCATTGTTCGTTGAAAATCCCCCTGTAGGGGGACACGCCCGACATAAGGTTAAGTCGGGCTTGTCCCTTTACAGGAGGAAGATTCAAAAGATGTTGAACAAAAGTCAGGGGGTGATTCTGTTGACTAGTGTTTCCCATCGGGCGGGTGTTTTTGTTGGTTATGTTTTTGGCTATGTTTGGGGGGCCCAGGGTTCAGTCGGGCCTGTCCCTCCACAGTTAGGCCGGGCCTCTCCACTCACGGGGGGATTTTGAGTGACTAATCAAACATACCCCAAACAAATGCTCCAAAATGATTTAAAAAAAAAATGCAACGAAACTCGTCCCCAACTATTCCCCCTGTAGAGGGTCAGGCCCGACTTAACTCTACAGGAGGAACCTTCATAAATAGTTAGAAAAAAGTCTGGGGACGATGTTTTGACTTTGTTTTCCCCTTTGTTTGGCTGTTTTTGGTTTATTTGTTTGGATTCCGCCCCAAATCCCCCTGTAGGGGGACACGCCCGACCTCAGCCCAGGGGCAGGGCTCGTTTCATGATTCCTCCGATTCGATTCGGTCTATTTCGATGGCTTCCGATTCCGATTCGATTCGACTTCGGATTCCGATTGGGGTTCCGACGTCTCAGTAGTGGGCGTACCAGCTTGCCGAGTTCCGCCGATTTGTTTTTTTTTCCAACTCGGCTGCCGATTTCCTCCGATCCGATTTATTTCGATTGCCGATCCGACTTCTCGATTCGACTCTGGGATCCGTTTTTGTCGGGCTGGGCGTTTTCGCCTTTTTAGACCCTCACACCTCGATCCAGCTCGAAAAATGACCGAGATGATGGGGTCGAGGTCTCCGGGCGTGATTTTCTACGATGTTCTCTTTTTGTTCGCTACGTCGGATCTCAGGGGGGGATGCATCGGCCCCAATCGAATCGCCCACTGATCGGCGTCAGGGGCCCGATAGCCCCATCCCACCCAGGAGCGTGCGGATTCGCTATCGGGGGCCTATCGCCGATCTATCGGCGATGCATCGCCGTTTCCAGATCGATGTTTCCCTCCCCCCCTTCCCCGCTGCCCCCCGATCGTTGCCCCTCAGAGGCGGTCGGCGCGGCGAGCGACCCGGAGGCCTCCCCGGATCCGTCGAGATCTGCCGGGAGCGTCCAGGATAGGGCGACGAGGTCTGTACCCCCAGGTCCAGGCGTCAGAGTTGTTTCAAAACGGGAGTGTCCGCCCGGTTTCGCGCCACAGGGCCCTCGCAGATCGATGCGGCTCCAGAAATTGCTCGGAAAGAGGGTGCGTATCTCCCAGGGCTGGACCTGAACGCTGTTTTGCTGGACTTCGGCTGTTCTTTGTTGTTCGTTTTGCCAGGGAGAGCAGAACGAAAAACGAGACGATGACAGAACGAACACCAGCGTTTAGGTGCAGCCCTGGTATCCCCCCCCCCTCTGGCCAGGCCCCTCCTGGGCCCAGGAGCAGTGACGGCCCCCTGGCTTGGCCCAGGAGGCATCTCCAGCTCCTCCCCCTCCTCCTCCCCCTCCTCCTGCCTATCTTCCGCCGCTCCTTGGGCCCGGGGGCCGGCCTCGCCTAGGCGGGGCGAGAGGGGGTGTGCAGACCGCGCCGGCCCTGCAGGAGGCCGCCGCGACGCGCATCCAGGCCGCGCTCCGAGGCGGGCGCGCGCGGCAGGCTGTCAGGCAGCAGGACCTCGGGCGTCACCACCCACCAAAGCACCCCAACCCAATCCGAGGGATTCAACTTGCCCTCCATTTCCATTGGGGGGGGGGTCGGGGAACATTGAAAAAACACATGGAACCCGTAACCCCCCCAACCCGAAATTGGGGTCTTCGGGTTGGGTTGAGGTGGTCTGGTCGGTAGTCAGGGCCTGCCCAGACATCGGGCGTCTCGAAAAACATCGAGGCGGAGTTTTTGTTTCGCAGCTGCTTGGCCTCGCGGGGCCGTCGCCGGGCCTCGGGGCCGTCAGAAAACGACTCGGGATGAAGAACCGGTCCCGGGGAAGTGGTCGGGAGGTCGGAGGCCCGTGTCTCGAAAAAATCGAGACGTCGGATGTCTGGGGGGGGGCAGGGCGCAGGGGAAGGTGAAAGGGGAGGGAGGGGGGAGGAGGAGGAGCCGTCTGCCCGCTCGGAGTGGGACGGCCCCGCGCTGGCCCACGCGCGAGCGGCGGCAGCGAGGCCCGCCATAAGGGCCGCGCGGGGGGGAGGACCCCACCACATCCCCCGCCGCTGCGGCGGTCCCTGGCGGCGGCTGCCCGCGGCGGGCGGCGCTGGGCTGCAGCTGGCGGGGCGCCCGTCCTGTGGCCAGAGGGAGACCGACGGCCAAGCGCCCCGAGCCAGCTTGGCATTGGCGCGCGAGGCGCCGTCGTGGGCAGGCGAAGGTTTTTTCCTCCAGGTGGTGAAGGCGGGTAGCTTGCTGGCTACTCACCATTCCAGCAGTATCTTTCTGAGGATGTCGAAGCGGACCTGCCATATGTGTGGGACCACGAACGGACAGCGATATTGGTATTGTCGAGGATCTCATTGCAATCACTCGATGAAGGGGCAGCAGCAGCTGGCAGAGGCTCGACGTCAGCGAGAACAACATGCCAGCCTGGGCAAGGAAATCAAGAGCATGCTTGACAGGACTACGATGTGTACTACGGGGTTTGCCCAACGACGCCATATGTTCGTGCCTACACCAGAACAGCTGGCATTGAGAGCTCACACGTTGGAAGAGAAGCTGCGCGCGACGGCTAAGCTGCTTCTCGAAGCGAAGAAGAATGGTACAAGGTTGCAGAAGCAGGAGCACGAAGTTGTAGTGCCGAAGACAATGTTTTGGTCCACCAAGCCTCCAGATGTCCAGCGACTGGAAAAGTTGGTACCACTGGAGAAGTAGTCGCGAGAGCTTGAGATTGACTTGATGTACGAGAGGTCGATGGTCACTTACTATGAGGATTTGTTGACTGATGGTCAGGAACAATCCTCTACATCTGGTGAAGGGCATGATCGACGCAAGCATTCACTGTCTATTCGAGTGGGCAGCGACGGAGATAACAAAGGAGTCTCAACTGGGACCGAGGCGCCACCACCACCGCCACCTCCACCACCTCCGCCAGGACCTGCCCCTCTGGCCATGCCAGGTTCGAGCAGCAGCATACCGAGCCCGCCGCGAGGAGAGCCTAGAGCTCCAGCTACGCCAAATGTTTTGATGGACACCACCTCAAGCCCAGCGGGCACCCCAAGACGTCCCAAAGTCCAACTAGCCCCCTGGAGGAGCTCGAGACCATCCCCGTGGAGGAGCGTGGACACATACTGCCACGCCAATTGCCAAACTGGTGCAGGTGTTGAGCTCGGGGAAGGGGTCGCTTGATTCGAGGACTTCAATTATGCCGCGTTCTGTTGATAGGGTACCGGGTCGCACCCTTATGGCCAGTCTCCTGATCGGGCGACCGTCCAAGCGTGGATTGAAGCCGAAAGGTTGGGCGACTTGCAGTTCGAAGTAGAGCTATCCAGACGTAATGAACAGGAGGAAGGCGAAGCAGTTGAGTATGGGGATCATCGATGGACACGATGCGATTGTTGTCCGCGTCCTTGTCCGCCACCTCTCTTTTCACCACCGTCTGGGCAGAGCTGGGGCACTGCTGGCGCGAGGGGGGTTGGCGAGGCGCTTGCCGAGGAGGGTCGAGCGGAGGAATTGGACAGACTTGAGCGAGATCGCGACAACCGGCATTTCCAGGAGTGGCTACTGCAACAGCGGACCATACTTCAAGCAGAAGAGCAACAAGTCGAAGTCTTGGCCAAGCAGGCCCCCCCCCCCCCCCTCCGACGAGCACGAACGCGAACGCGAACATGAACACCATGGACAGCGCCGATGCAGTTGACGCGATGCACCCAACTCCCTGACCAACGGCGCGCGACCTGCAGGCCATTGCGGAGTTGGTGCAGACCGCGACCGAAGAAGAATTCGAGCGGGGCGAAGACCAGGCGGGCACTATCTTGGAAGGGAAGGCTGCCGATGCTGAACGGTTTGCTGCTGAGAAAGAACAGCGAGCTGAGGCGTTGGAGCGCAATGCGCCGCTTCTTCGCGGCGGGGCTGCCACTGGTTCGGGGCGCGGTGCACCGAGCGTTTCTGAGAGCGCCCCCGCTTCAACGCAGGAGCCGCCCCTTGAGGCAGGCGGGGTCGAGTGCATTTCTATTGGCGCGCCTCAAGGCGAGCCCTCCGGCAGCGCGACACCAGCCCATGCCGGCGATGGCGATAGGAGCGCAAAAAGCCAGATGTCAGCTAGGAAGTATGGCAGGGCGACATTGCACGCGTCAGCTCCACATGCTGAGGCCAGCACCATCAGGAGAGCCTCCTCGAGAGGGGCAGCTGCGCGCACGCATGGAGAGTGGGAAGACACATTTGAAGTTATTAATTCACCGTCACAGCGCCAGGAAGGCCTTCGTGAGTCTCCAGAGTTTTTCCACAATAAGTAGCAGTACCAGGAGTCGACGGTGATCTGGCAGTGGGCGCGCTGGGAACCCCAGGCAAGGGGGAAGAGGGGGGAGTTACTGAAGCGGTTCAGCACCGCCCTTGACCTCAGACAACGAGGGGGGGCTTGTTCGGGCGGAGCTCCCACCTCTAGCACACGCGCCACGCCCTTTGCCAAGCTCACTGTCACATGGTCAGTGAGCTGTTGCTGACATCGAAGTGGAGAGCATTTCATCGACCCCACTTGTCTGTCACAGTCATGTTGAAGTGGGTATTCTGACTGGGCCCTCCGCGGCTACTCTGCGACGGGGCCTTTCCTGCCGCGCGCCAGCGATCGCGCATGGTGACACTTCTCCCGCCCGGTTGGGGCCAACTATTTCACTGCCGAGTTGTTCTGGCATACGGCAATATACGAATGTGTCACCAGTGAGTGGCCGAGATCTGGGATTCAGCGCAATCGACGTACCCCTATCTATCAACTTGGAGTTCCAGCTGCAACGCTGGCAAATCCACTTGCGACGGGACGTTGGGCGCTTTCCGCTTCATGAACACACGGGGTTGGCGCTGGCATACTGTCGCCCCTTGTCTACACCTGTGGGTAGGGTTTACATGTTCTGCGATGGTTCGTTCTGGCCAAACGACCGTCTGCTGTCGGCGTGAGGCCGCGCTGTTGTCTCTATGCTGAGGGGGGCTCCAAGTCCGAGGGCTTCTTCAGCGGCTACGCCTAATACAGCGCTGCCCAAGAGGTGGAGGAGGATATGATCAATAGCGTGGCGACGGAGACGGCAGGGGCGCCATGGGCCATGGTGCATGATTTGCAGGTCCCGCCCAAGGTTGTCGTGGAGGTCATCTGTGACGCCCAGCCAGCTTTGGGACGGGCGTCGCCAGGTTGTGCCCAGACGGGGGCTTTCGCGGTCCAGGCCGCGCACGTCTTCGAGGCTGTCTCCCGGGCGCGCCCGCTGCGCCTCTGCAACGCAGCAGGGCGCGATGGTCATCCATGGGATAATGCAAGACGCGATCGCCAAGCGCGCGAAGCAAGAGGCCCCTCCAGCGCTGCCCTCGCTTACTGCTGCAGCCCCGCGGCCGTCCAAGTGGTCGGCATGGGTGCCGCGTCGGGATCTAAGTTTTCAAGGTGGCGCTGCTTTCCCACCGCTGGGAAGCGATGTGTTTGTCGATCAGCCTTGCCAGCAGAACGCACTCTACGCGTTACCTCAAGGAGGAGACGTGGGACCACGCCCATTCTAATCTTGTAATGGGAGTGGCCGCCTACAACGTGCAGAGGGCTAACGTGGGTGAAGTACCGTCTTCAGGTGAGTGGGTTCGCGGGCAGCGCCTTCGACTTCAATTGCAGGATGCAGGGTGGCATATGGCATGGTGTCAAGAGGCCCCGTCTCCTGCTGAATCTACTATCCGCGACGGGTTTTATGTATTGAGCCCAGGGCGAAGCCACACTCTTGGCACCACATTGATGGTGAACGTTGGACTTCCAGATGGTTCTGTGCCTGCTTGGGGCAAGTACTTCGAGAAGAGCGGCGTGATAATCTTCCGCCAGGGTACGAGGGCATTGGTGACGCGCGTTGCCACGTTTGGCACCGACGAGTCTGTTTATGTTGAACATGAGTGGCGGGATCAGTTGGAGCGTTTGTTCTCAAGGTAGCCGCCTGCACTCGCGTGCGGCGATGCGAACGCAGAAATCGGAGTTCACCTTGTTAGTGGCGATGGGCACGGCTGCAGTGTTGGAAGCTACCGCCCCAGTTATTGCAGCACCGACGACGACGATGGACCTGGGACTTGCCTGAGAAGCTGCGCAAGCTCGCGCGACCTCTTTATTGAGAGCACATTTCATGGTCTTGCGTATGCTAGCAGTGCTAAGGGCTTAAGCCGAATCTATTACATGCGGACGAACCTCGAGTACCACGACGCAGTCAAGGCATTGTGGGTAGACTACAGTCTGGTCAGTTTTTTGGACGGCGAGGACCACTACCCTTTGGTTGCAGAGGCGAAGCTGGCTGCGGCGAAAGCTCCACCGCGGCGCAGAAGTGCTCGAGTACGCGACGGGAATAAGCTTCGGGATGCGGACCAGATCCGCAGGTTTGAGCAGATAGCTGAGGGAGCTGCGCTCCCATTCTGGACGACGGATGCGAACGACCACGTGGGGGCCACCAACACGTTGATCAGGTCGGCGGCCGCAGCATGCTTTTCCAAGGATCGCTCGAGTTCAGGTCGAGGGCATGTCG